ATTGATGTTTAAAATAAGATTCATTAGGTGCTAGTAATTTGACCTTGTGGATTATGAGACACTGAGAATATTTAATGAGCAAGTATGGAGACAACGAGATAAGAGCTGAGGAGCTGAGGAAGCTGCTGGTTTTCATGGGGGACCAGTCAAGCAACCATGAGAGCCAATGTCCGTGGGAAGGGCCGCATGGCGCCGGCGGCTGCCAGCCCTTGCCCTGCTCCTGTTGGCCATCCCCGATGGGCCTGCCATTCTTGTGGTAAGGAGCTAAGCCTTAAAACGTTTCTACAAACTCTTTTACTAAGGTTCACAGGAACTGAAGAGGCCTGAAAGAAGTCTGAGAGGAAAGTGCATCTCCAAAGCCTTAGAGGATTCAGGGATAAAATGCTCCACAGCCTTGCTCATTATGGGGTGAAACCCCCCCGCTCTGCCACTTCCCGTGATGCAGCCTGCWCCTTCTGTTCAGCTAAGCCAAGAGTTAAGAGTTTTCAACAATGCAAATGATTGCTTCCTACTAAAAAGCTTCCTACTAAAAAGCTTTCTACTAAAAAAGCTTTCTACTCACCTTAAAATGAGGCAGGGAATAAACCTTTGCTATGTTCAGCAAATTTGGGTTTAAGGATAATACAGAAGCTTACACTAGATTTGAATCCCACTTGCAGCACAGCCCGTTTTAGAAAAATCTACAAAATCCAGCAATTTCTAAATCCTTGGATGTGACACTACAAAATACTGTAATACATACATTTCGTATGGATTATGGCATATGTTGGAATTACTGTTTTTGAGGGCTGAGAAGGACTTTCAGAAGTCTCCAGTTCTGTACATTTAATAGATTTAGGGGTGTAATTCCAGCATATGAGCCTGTGAAAAGTGTTTGAAAAGAAGCTCCCTCTCCTTGCCAGTAGAGTATAGTGAGAACACAGCAGGACCTGACCAAGGTCCTTCTAAGCTTAATATTACATTTCTAATAGTGGTTTGTAGCACATACCTAGAAAACTGTGAGAGCAGCGAAAGCATTAGTGATAATTTTCTCATCTACTTTCCAGCCTCTAGTGATCAACTGCTTGGGACTCTTCTGAGCCCCGTGCAATGGTGATCTCTTTGCATCTAAACTTCCCATCTAGCTATGCTACTGTGCATTCCTAAAATACAAAATTARTAGTCAGTAAAGAAAACAAGTGAAAAATCATACCTAACTAAACTAGTTACGTTTAGTAAATACCAATAAAATTCTAATACTAATAGATACTAATAAAATGAAGAGTAAGAATCTCTTCTACCCTTCATGCAGCTGTTATAGGGTGACAAGTTTAGGCAAAGGGTAKGAAGAAGAAGGCAGCAGAGCTGGTTGCCCAGAAAGGCCGAGAGGAGTGAGAGGCTCCCCCTCCTCCCATAGAAGGCTTTGAAAGGGCCTTCGAGATTTCCCCCTAGGAGCTGGTGCTGCTTCTTACCAAAGGCGAGTGTGAAAGCACAGTGTAACATGGGCGTCCGTAAGCTCTAGGGTGGAGACTGTAGCTGGGCTGTGGGGGAGAAAACGCCYGTCTCTTGCAAACATCTTCTAGATGCATCTGCATCTTCTAGAGGCCTTTCAGATAAGGGCTATGAAAGRGGAAAGTGCTGCCTGGGGGAAGATGAGGGCGGGAGGAGGGAAGAGGCTTTGGTTGTGTAGGATATGACAACGAATGTAAATTCTCTACCTCTTCAGGCCAAAGGTGCCTGCAAAAGAGCATTTTAAAGATGAACAGCCATGTTGCCTCTCCCCGTGCTGAGAAGTGCAGCGAGTTGCAGCCCTGAGAGATGTGAATGCACAAGGAGCTGAGCAGAACTCCGCATAAGAGCAGTGACAAGCAAAAAGATTTCTGTCAAGTGTTTATCCTCTGGAAAAAAAATAGAGCTTCAGTCACTTGGAAGCAATGTGCAAATTCGGACTAAATTGTGTTGAAAGGTCTCAGTCTATAAGGGCTTGTGGAAATCCCAGGAAGCAGGCAGGTCTGGTGCTGCCGCTCCCCTCAGCCCTGTCCTCCACCAGCCCAGTGCCCTGCACTCTGGCTGAGGACACTTCTTGCTGGTGTGTCAGTCCCTCCTGCTCATGCTACCACCCTGTTTTAGAAAAATGATTAAGAAGTCTATGGAGCAGGAAATAAATCCTGCCTCTTTCAATGCCTGCATTATTACCAGACTAGAGGGCAATTAGTCTTTCTTTTGTTCAATAAATGTTTAATTTCTTCTCTCGGAGAGGGAAGGGGATGTGACGCCAGCCCCCTGCTGGCGCTGTGTTCGCAAAGAGGTGGTGTGACAGGAGCGGCTGCTCCCTGAAGACAGTCTGAAAACTGCTACAGGCATCAGGCGTCCCCAGGCCGGCCTGCCAGGCACGGCCGCACGTCGCTGCCGCTGGCCAACCCTGCAGCCCTTGGGAACTTGGGAAGTTCCCAAGGAAGCCCTTGGGAAGAAGATAAAGCTGGATTTAGACTGCAAGGGTGTATTCAGGACATTGCTTTATGTAAGTCACTTGGAAGCCAGGTACCTGCATGCCAGTCCATGGGCATAAACGTCACTGAAAAATGCCAGAGCCCTGGTGGGGTTCTCTGCAGCGCTGTGATGGAGCAGAGGGGCGGCCCTGCTCAGGCTGCTGGGAAGCACAGCGCTCGTCACCGTGAAGGTCTCAGGTGGCACCCACAGGAGTCCCTTGGCCAGAAAGGCTGAGAATGTCTCTCGTCCCCACCACTCAGTGGCTTCAGGGGTGGGTGCCAGAAAGAGCAAACCCTCTAAAATCAGAATCTCTCCTCTAGTAACGAAAAGATCCAAGCCTGTAACGACTACAGTTTTATAAATCGTCTTCTCCTGGGAAAAACACTATGAACCAAGCCTCAGTGAGCAGCAGAGCTTTTCTGGCTGAGGAGCAATGATGGGATTTACGGTTCAAACACCGATGAAACCTTAAATATAGTGATCCAAATGGGAGCTATTTGGTTCAAATAAACTCTTTCAGGCTCTAAATGTTTCAAATAACTAAAAGAAAACCCAGGAAAACAGCACGCTTCATCTCCATTCAGGGCTTCTCTTCACTGCAAGAGTTATGCTTGGGTTAGTGCTCTCAAGATGCCCCCTTTGAGGCGAGTACCTGCCATGGCCTGGCCGAGTCTCCCACATGGAGTGCATGGGGCTCCACGCTCCTCCACTGCTGCTCAGAAAGGAGCTTATAAAGCACCACTGACCTCACGCTGGAGCCATTTCTGTGCAGAGGGAGATCAGGCTAAGACTAAAACACAAGTCTAACTCAGTTTGCTGGTGTGGGAGGGTGGGAAATTCAGCTAGCAGTTTGGGAACAAGCTTTCCTCAGCGGGATGGACTCTGAATGGCTGTGCCCTTCTGTGCAGCTGCTCACTGCTGTGCAAAGCCCCGGAGCCAGACCCGTGGAAGCAGTGCCCTCGCCCGCACCTCATTTGTGCATAAAGATCCTGTGCAAGCCAGTCCTGTTGTCCTCTAACAGATGCAGGGTTTTGAGTGACATCAGATTAACATGGCCGGAGAGCGATGGCTGCTACTAGATGCCTCTGCCTTTGGGCCAGCAGTGCCTCAGCATCCCCGTGCAGCCGGCGCGGCCCTTCCTGAATCCAGGGGGAATGAGACCAGCTTCTCTGGGAAGCTGTTTAAACAAATTGCTCCCTTGACTTAGACCTGGTGAAAAGGAAAGGTTCAAGGAGGAGATAAGAGAGAGAACAAAGAGAAAAAGTGCCAAATCACTATCTATAATCTATACTTGCCTATATATGTTATTTTATTTTAAAGGGCGATAGTGTACATTTGTGGGTAAACCGTCTTCATGCACCATACCACTCTGCCTATATATCTTTTTTTATGTGTCATGTAGTACATTCAGTTGTGATAACACACAGTCTAGTAGCTACCTTTACTGATGCTGTTCTTTAAAAGTCTCCACTAGCATCTAAGACATCAATGCCTGGCAGCTGTGTTTGGGTTCACATGCCAGGGGTTCACATGTTTTAAGTTTGGGGTGACAATTTTAAAGTTAGGATGTTTTAAGTTTGGGGTGAAAGAATTAGGTTTAAGGATGTAGATACGTGAGCAAATCTGGCAGCCCAAGCTGCACTGATGACTAAACTTGCCCTGATGTTTCCTTAGCCTGAACGAAGCTCTGCCTGGAGGCTTCTGTGGTGAAGAGCTGGGTGCTGGGCCAGGTATTTTGCATTCAGCTCAGAAAGTGCCCAATAATGATAGTATAGAGCGTATTCCATTAGCTTCGCACAACCTGAGTGGATATTGATATGGTTTGAGGAATGAGTAATTGCTGGTACCTCCAGAGAAATGAGGTCACCAACATTTTCCTGTGTCTGAGAGCGAAGAATTAATCTTCCTAATTAACTGCAGCATTAAGATGCCAATTCTGTCACCTCAGCTTACATCAAGTAGTCACAGGAGACAAGAGGGAAGGCCTTCAAATTGTAACTTTCCCAGGCAGAATAGTAACGTTTTGCCCTGACAAGAGTTTTCTGGAAAAGCTCTGATACGACGCTCTGCTGCAGGCAGCAGCACTGCTTGCTTGGTAAGGAGCTACTCCATATGGCCACAAGTTGTCACSGGCACTGGGTGTCACCTGCCATGTCCATCCCACCCCTCGTCCCTGCACACACCTCATGTGTGAGGCCCTTGGTGAGAGCACTGCTTCCAGGCAGAGGCGAAGCAGGCTAAGGGCAGCACAACCTGCTTTACCTCTGAGGCACCTTGTTGAAGAAGGAGGCCCAGGGAAGAGCCTGGCAGGAGGGCTCCCTTACGAGACAACATGTGATTGCCTGTGGCAKCATGAAATACAGTGAAAAGTACCCATGAAAAGCTTCTGTCGCAGGCAGCAAGAGGCATTGATTCCCTTTGTTTTAACAGCAAAGCTAACAAAACTATTTCAGAATAGTCAAGCACAATGATTGCTGTCACCCTTCCTACACGACCCTGAACTGTGGTTTGTTTCTGTCTTCCTCTCTCAGGATGAAAAGAATCAAGTATTGACAACAAACATCTGGCTACAAATGGTGAGTTCTGGAGAAAAGAAAATCTCTCTCTCTCTCCCCGCCTCCCATCTTTGAATTTAGTCTCACAAGAGCTGGAATTTTTTTGAGCTTTCAAGCTTTTGTTCCACATCTTGCTACATAATGGACAACCTTGAGTTGAATGGAGCTCAATAAGACCAAGGTTTAGAACTTTATGTTGACAGGCATTTCTGAGAGAACTGGAGCAACCACATCTGAATGACCTCTTTACAGTTAATTTAGTCACCATAAACTCTAGATCAAAATAAGATACCAGAGTCCCAAGAGTCACAGGTCGCATAACTACAGCTGCAAGGTTCTCAACACCCGTTCCAACAAATCCATTAATCCAGTGCTTCAGTAAATTACTTGGTCGTTAAAGAGAACATGTGCATGCATGAAATGATTTCCTGCATAGCAGCTGTTGTGATCAGCATTCTGGAGATCTCCAGGTAGTTATTCTATACAAGGGAATGCAGGGGAAAATTTACTCTGAAGGAAGAGTCTGCTCACTCCTGAGATCTGCTGTCATTCTGCTGCCTGAAGGGCTCTGTTTTTCTATTTGCTTTGCTTTCAGTCTGTCTCCCGAAGAGGCATTTTAATTAAAATGGATGCTGTTCACATGTTGTTCAAAATGCTGTTTGAACAGAAATCAACATCAGAAGTTAAGTGCTAAGGATTAAAGCTTTTTATGTCACTTTTAAAAATTCTCAGCTAAAATGGCTGCTGGACACAGTTTCCCCATGTTCAGCTGTCAACACTTTATATGCTCCTGCTTTCCTGGTTTCTTTTGCATATACATCCAATTTGTTTTTCTAACAATAGCTTCATTTTACTTTTTGCTGCCATATCAGAAAGTCCCCCCCCCAGCCACAGTTAACACAGAATTTCTGGCTCTCTCATCATCTAAGCAAACTCTATTGCCACGCAAGATCGCAGAGCAGAGAGCTTGGCCTGCTGTTAGCTTGCAGCTGACACTGCTGGGCCAAGCTCAGTAAATTCTGCTCAATTAATAAATGGGGCAGATAATAGAGTATAATAGAGCATTCAAGGTGTGTCAGATTTCTTTTCCCTGTTTAACTAATGTGCAAGGGAGCTGCTCCTACATGAAGGCTCCGCACAGMTTTTCTCTGCTCACCCACTCCTGCCTTTGCCTTTGCTGGGTGCTGCAGCTCTGCAGGAAGCAGCGAAGCTGCGGCCAGCTCCAAGGGCCCTGCACACCCTGCCTTTGTACAGCAGTGCTGCCCGAAGGAGACAGCAACACGGGCAGCTTCAAAGGAGAGAGCAATACAGGCAGCTCTTCCCATCCTGGAGCAGCTAGGTCGAGAGCCTGAATTTCTTACTGTATTTCAGAAACTGAACTGACTGCGTTAAGTAAAGACGTAGAGAAGAGTTGTTTTACTGAAGACACTGCCTCTGCTTCAGCAGAAATGTCACACCTCTGTTTGTCTAATCAGCTCATTAGGTTTTAATGAATTCATTTTGTTTTTATTATTATTATTTTTTTAAATAGAATGCCTCTCCTGCACTAGGAAACACACAGGAGATTAGCAAAGGATAGCGCAGCTATGCCATTTATTCACAAAGTCAAGCTGACAGGGAAGCAGCATTCATCTCACGCTGTTTACAGGCTGGTTTTCCAGTAAGATTCAGTGTCAGATGTAATATTTTTGCCTTAGAGCTACAGCGACAGCAGTTGCTGTGATTTCTTACCAGAATAACAGACAGCAGTTCATACTTCAGAAACTATCATTTATTTGTCTCTCTCTCCTCTCCTACAGAGTCCTTATTTCCGAGACTTTTCCCAAGGAAATTTTTGATTCTTTTAAATATTCACTGCCTATTTTTAATTGACTTATTCATCTTTATACACACTCTCTGCTGAGCATGTTAAGAGGAATGGGCAGATCAGCTGATTACTACAGAAAGTGTAGCCACGGCTCACGGCTGCTGAGAAGGACAAGGCCGTGCTGGCGCCCCAGCGCCCTCCCCATGTCCCGTTTGATTCCACTAGACAGTCTCAAGCCTCACGACAGCTTCATCAGAATGGCACTGTCCACCACCTTCCTTGTCATATGTGTGTGTAGTCACAGATGTACGTTAAATAAATTTCACCTAAATCACGATCGAGATACTAAAACACAAAACTAACCCAAGGAGGCGAATATAAAGCTGTTTTTTATACATTTAAATTTTTTGATCCTGAATGCTATCTCCACGGTGATACTGTTTAGATTCAAAATATTACATTTGATTTAAGTTATAGGAGGATCTCCATGGTGATACTGTTTAGATTCAAAATATTACATTTGATTTAAGTTATAGGAGGAGCCTTGCCTAGGCAGGCAGGTTAGTATAAACTCTGGCACTTCCAGCTATTTTCTATCTTCCTCTGCATCAAATGCAACTTGGCGACATAGCAAACTGTAGCTCCAAAGCTAAAACCAAATGAAACGGCTCGTGTCCAGACGGACAGGTACGAGGTATTTCTCTATGAGGCTCACCCAAGCAAGTGCAACGTGACATCCTTCAGGTGACTGCCAGTGCGACAAACTCGAGCGTCAAGCTTTCTACCACCCCTTGGGCAGTCTTTACGCAGTGCTGCACTGTGCTCTATAGCGCTGGGCCATAACAACTGCTAAAGGTGTTAACAGGAAAGTGCTGAATGTATCACTAGTATTTGACCGCAGTTCAGCTAGCACTCAAAGTCCGCTCCACACAACCTGCCCGTTGGGCATTTGCTGCCCCATGGGCCACGGGGCCCCAGGCTGTGAACCRCAAAGCAGAGCTGGGCTTGTCCTGCCAGCTCAGCACGAGCAGCACCAAGGAGAGCCCTAGCTTTGAGCACCACACACAAAAAAAGGCAGGGGACATTTGATTATGTTGCTGGACTTGCTGAAAAAATAAACAAGTCTGTACCATCTAAATTCCTTGAAAAATGGTTAAAAAGAAAAGGTAACTTTTTGTAGGGATCAGCAAGTTAATGTAAAACAGAACTTATTCAGACATAAGATTCTGAAAAAAATAAAAAAGAACAGAAAATGAGAACTAAAGCTGTGGCAGATGACCAGCACAATATGCTTGGCATAATTAGAGAACTGAGCCTGGAACAGGTGGCAAAAAGAAAGAAACCTAAAAGAGCTAGTGATATATTCTGATTTAAAATTTGTGTTATAAAAAGGTATCTGTCAAGTAAAAGGAACCAGAAATGTACAGCGCAGATGATCTGTTCAGGTGACGAGGCACTGTAAATTCACTGCAAACACTGCATGAGATAAATCATGGGAGCATGTGCCAACAAACTGCATAGCAAAAGCTTTGCAGAAGGTGAGCGTGTGATAAATACTATTACATGTGTTACATGCAGCAAAATATTTACAATTACTGGTCTAGAGACACAAAGAAGAACTTGAATCCATGCAGCAAGAGGCTAACTCGGGACTTGTTTGGGAAAGGATTTTTTCCTTGGACTGTTAGGCAAGGAATTGCACAGAGCAATTTGATGTGAATGCCCCATGAAAATAATCAATAATACGATTTCTACAATGCCCAAGGCAAAATTTCTCTGCCATTAATATCTGCCGAAGACTCTGGCAAGGGCCACTAGACTGCTGAAGCGCTAAGTAGTGCACACAGCCTATTTGGAAGGTTTAATTTAAAAGACTAACATTTGTCATTACAACAGCACTGCAAATATAGAGAAGTGTCCACTGTAACTTATGTGACGCCTACAGTTATTTGAAGTTAATGTAAATAATATAACATGGGGATACAGGCAGCCCAATGTAATTACGCACAGATTTATAAGAAAATAATAAATTGCAGTTACAAATGCAACAAAGTGAACTATTTCTTCTTTGGGCCTTTTGCACAGACAGTCAGCACTGACATCGTGGACTCCAACTAATGGAGGCTGTGCCGGGGCGCTGCCTCGGCCGCCAGTGCCCAGCTCTATTAAATCTCCTGCCCTGCCAGTTGTTCCCCCTCCCCGCAGACTGCGGGCAGCTCGGCCACGTCTCACAGTTCAACCACCACCAAGCAGAGCTGCCTCTAAAGAAAAATGTAACTAAAGTTAATATATGAATAATAAAAGAAGCTGTTCCTTCCCAAACTGGTGCTTGAGACAGCATGAGCAACAAAATACAAGCACTCCTAATCTTATTTTATAGGCTGTTTTAGGCATTGCAGTGTGAATTGAAATGAAATTTTTATGGTTTTCAGTGAGCTATAGCTGACCTATTTCACCTTTTCTAAACATTTCATTGACTGAAACTTAATATTTCTTTAACAAAAAAGCACTTAAGTTAATGGGAAAAGTGACCTAACTTTTTTTTGTGTGTGTGTCTATGTCTTAGTATTGGACAGATTATTATTTACAATGGAATGTGTCTGAATACCCTGGAGTGAAGAACGTCCGTTTTCCTGATGGCCTGATATGGAAGCCGGATATTCTTCTCTATAACAGGTAGACACTCTCTTTGAAAGATTCTGCAAGATTTCTATTGTGATCTCCTGCTCGCTGCCCAATATATTGCAAAACCCAGTGATGTGCAGTGACAGTGAAAGACATAATTCATCTGACATCTTTCGCCTATTGTCTGATAGCAGAATATTTATCTCTAGACATTATCTCTTTAACGAGACTCCTTGTCTTATTAAATGCAAAATTATTAGCAAATCTGACAGTGTGACAGACCTCAAGCCAATGTATATTGGGTAATGAGCTGTGGCTTCTGCTTGCATAGCAGTGACCTGGTAATACAAAAGAACCGAAGATATGAGTGTAGYGTTATCTATACCAGAAGAGTTAGGAAAGCATTTAAGCTTAGTCTTCAGAGCTTTAGTATTAGCTTAATCAAGTGACTTCTATAGCCCTGCTGGCTGAGTTTTAAATTTTTTTTTTAAAGGCTGAGCTTCAAAGACATGGAAATAGAAAAGGCAGCATTCAGTTAGCAACATCTACTGTACATGTGTTATTATTAAAGTCCTTAATAGAACTTACATTTAGCAGACCATGTTAGTTAAACAGTATTCGTACTATTTTCCCATATATTGTACATGATTTTGACCTATTTACAATGAACTCCCCTACACTAAGTTTGTTATGAAGCTAAAAGAGCTGCTAAATTTTCTGTCTGAAAAAGAAAGGCTTGTTCTGTCTTTCTGCTGAATGCAGTGAACTAAATTCTTCCCTTGGCTACATGCGTGCCGTGTCTGCACAGCTGTGGTCAGGGAATAAAAACCCCCAGTTCTATCACATCAGTCTTGCAAGGGGAATGAGAAAGGAAGTATATGAACAACGTGATATTAGTGGATGYATCCACCGTAAGTTATATAAGCAATATCATGTTTTCAACAAGCTCTTTTGTACAATGGCTCTGTGCAGAATCATACTATCCACTGCTGAACTACCATATGCACCATATGCAAGTAGGAAATATCCATATAGACAAGCAGCCATCTGTCCTACATCATGTAGTAATTATTTCTTTGCTGTCCTCACTCTTGAATAATGACTAGACCAGGAAATTCACACTGGAAATCTGGACCTGCATTTGCCAAGAAGACCAAGTCAAAGTCGAAGAATAACAAATTCAATTATTCAAAACCTGAAGTCTCTAGACACTCAGTATCTTTAATTCCAAACATTTTTTTTTCTTAAGACTTAAAATCTACTGATTACAAAGAAGAAACTGGCAAATGCTCATCGGGGCTCCTGGAAGGTATATCAATAATAAACAAAAATCTCCCTTTTTTTTTCTTCATAAGGCAGTGAATCAATGTTTGTTTGCAGTATAACTGTTTGTGCTGCTAATGCACAACATGTATGTGTATGCTCACACCTTCCAAAACAGCCTGCATTTTAAGGACCAAATGGTCTCTATTTGAGTAGGAGGAACATCCACCTGTGATTTCTGTTTTTGAAAAAATGAATGTGAGATGATGTTAATAACCACTGTGTTTCTTTCCCAGTAATGAGTTTTTTTTACTTGCTCTGTGTCAATAATTAAGAGAGGAAGACCCCGAGGAAAAGTAAGGTTCTTTATCCCTGACCGTCTCAGGCTGGACAGAAGGCCTGGCATGTGCTTGCAGTGTTCCAGCTCAGCAAGCTGGCTTGCTGATACCCCCACTTCCATCTGCCTGTGCTGCACAGTTCAGACTCTACTTCTTCCTCTCCCAAGAGGATTCTGCTGGAGTCCAGTCAGCACCCTCAACCATGGGACTCCCCTTTCTCATTGCTCAAGCTACTCTTTCTATAGATCGTTTCTTTGTGGCTGAGGGTCAAGTGCTGTGCCTAGCACACATCAAAGGCAACCCCAGGTGAAATAAGCTGGGCCCAAGGGCAAGCCCCGGAACGATCTTTGCTTTTTAGCTTTTTTTTTTTTTCCTGGCTACACTATCATAAATGACAGCATTCTTGGGAGAATCAACCAAATCAGTCACTCATTTCCATTCACCTGCTGAATAACACAGCGTACCTGTCATAACATAGATACTCTGCAAAAGAAGTTTAGAAATTTACAAAATAACAAATTAGGACACGTAAATCCCTCCCTCATATATGTCACAGATCTGAAAATTTGTAATTGAATTTATTTGTCTGAGGATTTATGCCTCCAAAAATCTAGGTGTATATGAAATTATAGTGCCATTTTAGAAATTTTCTACTGCTTACCCTCATGCCTGTTGCCCCTGCTTACTCTCATTTCTCTCTGAAACCTATCCAGCCATTATTTCAGCTGTGACAAAGAATATTTCACATCGTTTTTTTCTTTTTGTTTTCATAATGTCAGCAGTCTCAAATAATTTTCGTTTTCCTCCATTTGTACTTTAAAGGTCCCTACATTTCAAATTATTGCTAACTGATTYAGTCACAGAAACATGACAGCTGCTCTTGGCAAGTAAGTCTTCAGGAAGCTGATCTTCAACTGTCTAATGGGATTTTTAACTCTTAAGATCCCTTCACTTAAATTTTCCAGAGTTTTCTCATGTGAATACTGATTTCTGGGATCTCTTAGATGTACAGAGATGGCTGAGCTGAACACAGAGTAGCTGTAGGATTGGAGATGATGCAATGAAAGTACTAAGAGATTTGTAACGCCTGCAAGAGTAACAAAAGGCCTACTC